AGAAGACATCTAAACTCAAACCATAACACACTGCTAAACTCATTCCTAGTAACTAGCATTACCTTGATCCAGAAAAGGATTCAACACAAAAAGAAAACTATAAGTCAATCTCTTTAATGAGCATAGATGCAAAAATCCTCAGTAAGATACTGGTAAACATGCAACAAACCATTACATAATCATAAACCGGACATCATTCCAGGGACGCAAGGATGGTTCAACATGTAGAAATCAATAAATGTAATGCATCACATAAACAGGAGCAAGGACAAAAGCCACATAATCATCTCAATAGATACAGAAAAAGCCTTTGAAAAAGATCCAACATTCATTCATGGAAAATGACCTGAAGAAGATAGATATGGAAGGACCTGTACTCAATCTGATAAAAGGTATTGACTACAAACCTACTGCCACAACATATTAAATGAGGAAAACTGAAAGCTTTTCCTCTAAATTCAGGAACAAGACAAAGTTGTCTACTACCACTACTTTTGTCCAACATAGTAGTTAAACCTTTAGCCAGAGCAATCAGTCAAGAGAAAGAAATAAGAGAATTAGATGTAATATAATATATGTATGAAAAGAAAAGGCAAATGATGGTGTGATATTTACATAGAATTCCACAAAAAATTCCACTATAAGACTCTTAGAACTAATAAATTTTACAAAGTAGATGGATAGATACGTAGTCAATGAATAAAAATTAATAGCATTCTTGTATATCAACACCGAACTCAAAAGAAAGCAGGAAAACAGTTCTATTTGCAGTAGTCTAAAAAGGTTAAACACTTAGGAATTACCTTAGCCACAGAAGTGAGAACAGTCTATAATGAAAACTACAGTATATAATGTGAAAAAAGAGATTGAAGAGGATATTGGAAAATGAAAAGATAACCCTGATAAGCAGAGCCAATATTGTCAAAATGGTCAAATTAGCAAAATGCTATATAACAGAGCATGAACAACATTTTTCTCAGAACTAAAAAAACAAATCCTGAAATTTATATGGATCCAGAAGTGACCCAGAATGGCAAAAGCAATCCTGAGCAGTAAGAGCAAAGCAGGAGGCATTACAATCCTGGATTTCAAGTTGTACTACAAAGTTCAGTAATTAAAAATGGCATGAAAGTGACCAAAAATAGGCATGTTGATCAATAGAACCAAACTGAATATGCCAAAACAGTCTCGGGCACATTTAGCCCTTTCATCTTCAATAAAGGGGGAAAAAGGATACACTGGAGAAAGTATAGTCTCCTCAAAAAATGATACTGGGAAAACTGTACACATGCAGGTGATTGAATCTATACCCATATATTTTGCACTCTAACCAGGTCAAATCAAAATTGATCAAATAAATAGTATAAAAACAGAAACATTAAATCAGTTGGAAGATAAAATAGGTAAAACTCCTAAGAGATAAGCATAGGTAAAGATTTTGTGAAAAGACTTCTAGTAGCATAAGAAATAACACCAAGAATCAACAAATGGGATTGTAGCAAACTAAAAAGCTTCTGCACAGAAGGGAAATAACCAACAGAATAATCTACAAAATGGGAAAAAAGTTTAGCCACTCCTTAGATAGCAGATTCATACCTAGAATATATAAAGAACTCAGAAACATTTGACTCCCTTAAAACAAAAGACCCAATCAAAAACTAGATAATTGAAACTAAAGGAAACCTCTTAAAGAAAAAATACAAGTGGCCAATGGATACATGCAAATATGTTCAGTATCTTTGACTGTTGGAGAGGTGCAAATCAAACAATCCTGAGAGTCTACTTTACTCCAGAAAGAATGGATATCCTTAAGAACTCAAAAAACAACAAATGCTGGTAAGGTTGTGGGGATACATGAATCCTTCTACACTGTTACTGGGAACGTCTAGTACAACCATCTTGGAAATCAATATGGAGATTTATCAATATAAATTGTATTTCACCTAGCTATACCTATTTCACCTAGCTATACCTATTTTTGATATCTTTCTAAATATTTAAGGAATCATATTATTATGATCCATTCATTCTCATGTTTATCACAGGACATCTCATAATAACTATATCTTGGAAGCAGCCTATGTGTCCATTAACAAACGAATGGTGAAGGAAATGTTAAATGCATACATAATAGAGTAACTACTCAGTCATAGAGATAAATGTGAGTCGTTTGTAGGGAAATGGATGGACCTTGAGTCCATAACTCTAAGGAAAATAAATTATACACAAAAGATTAAATACCACATGGTTTCTCTTATGTGAGAAATCTAAAATATAAGACACTTAACGAACAAAATAAAAGACATTTTATAGGAAACAGGGAGATATAATTTGTGGAAATGTGAAGAGGATCTGGAGATAGAGGGAAGAGGAGAGAGGAAGTGAAGGGGAAGCAAAAAGAATTAAGTTGTGTGATATATGCATTCCCCACTGTGAATGCAATGACCATGTACAACAGGCATACTAATAAAATTACAAAGCAAAATAAAATGTAATAGGAAAAAGGTCATTTGGTTAACAAATTTATAGCTCATCATACTCTAGAACATAGACGACCAAGGACAATAGAAATAGAACTTGGGAGATACTGAGCAAAACATGTTCGGTTGTTCTTTTGTCCATACAGCAGATCTATTTAAATGTTTATTACTTTATGATGTACAAGACATTCTTCCCCTGTTATTATTCACACTGTTTGAAATTATTGAACAATCTTAATAAAAGTTCTAAAACTCTTAAATGATTTTTCTACAATATTTTTCTAAGTAATTATTTTTTAGGGGGTTGTTTAAAAAATCATTTTAACCATAATATTATTAACAGGAACAACAGAAACAGATCCATTTTGGGAATCCCTTCGGGACCAGCTCTTGGGCAGACCATCTAATGAAATCAAAGAATGCCATAAGCCAAAGCCAGTCCTTCTTCACACTGGAGAGGTAATACATCTTAATCATCATAGTAAAATTAATATAGGGCTGCATATATTCCTATGTAAGACTTTTAATATTAAATCAATCCTAGGTGTTTAAGGACTTAGAATTATGATTATAAAATATAATAATTTCTTGATCTCCTTTCTTTTTTGTTTACATGTTTGTAACACATGTTTGCATTCTTTGTGTGGAGTTGGTACATGTATATACCACATCTGAATTTCTTTTTTAATTCCTCTTCCTCTCCTCTCCTTTCCTCCTCTCCATCTCTTGATTCCCTTCACCCTTGAGAAAGATCTATCTCCCCACTTCCTGTATCTTTTATTTTGCTCTTTGTTTATACTTTGGGCTTCTCATGTAAGAGAAACTACAATGAAGGGGAAGGCTGGGAGGACGAAGAGAATTGAAAAAAAGAAATGAAGATGTTTTATCCCATGTACTAATTCACCACAAGGAGTGTAAGCTGTGCTCTACGAGCACGTCCTAGTAAAAAATAAATAAAAAGAAAAATATTGATTTGCCTTGTTGCATTTTTGAGAAATAAATAAAACAGAACAGTGGGAAAGGAGGAATAATTCAGGATCCATTATGTTGGCTCCAAGAAATCAGTCTGCACGGAATTCTTTGTAGAGGAAAATATCTAAGTCATATACAAAGATGTTTCTGTATCTCAGTTCTTTTACACTTCAGGAAACACTATTAACTAAAATCTCATTTGGAACACATATTGTTATATTCTGAATGATACTATTTCAGTATTCATAGAACTACTATGGGTACTAAGATCAATACTAGGATTGTTGAGGTAGAAGCATTTTAAAAATAGATTTTTCCTAATAGTTTATTAAAATTCTTAGAATTTTTTCTAGTACCCTGTAAAAATTCTTAGAGAAGAGAGAAGAAAGGCAGGGATGGAGGGGTATATTAGTCAACAGTAATTTAAATGTGGAAAAGGGTAGATACTCTTGGAGAAACCTTGAAAAATAAGGTGCAAGACTTGAGGACTGTAAAATTACGATGCTATTACAGTAAAACAAAAATCAATACTTTCAACTATTAAAAATGGCCTTCCTTATTCATGGTATATAAAAACAGTCACTCATAATACTCTAAGACAGTTGTGGGGAAACTATGCACATGTGCCACAGCAAGCTATTTGCTATCTTTTTTGTGTGTGTGTGTGTGTCTTTTTGAGGCAGAGTCTCGCTATGCTGTTCAGGCTGGCTTTGAGCTCACTTTGTAGCTCAGGCAGGTCTTGAACTCACAATGATCCTCCTGCCTCAGCCTCCAGAGTTCTGGGATTACAGGCATGTGCCACCACATGCCAGCTATTTGCTATCATTGAAAGCTCTAAATGTTTTGGCCTCACTGCCCTAGAAGAACCCTTGGTTGTTAACACTTTTTGATTCCATAATGAATCAAAATTTCACTGATAAGACCAGGTTAATGAAACATTAGTATTTGAAATTTACAAGTCATGACTAGGATTATATAATACCCATATAGTATATTTTGTACCTCATCATAAATTAGAAATAAACCCCATGATAGGAAAAAATGTTAAAGCTTTCAATTCTGTCTGTCTGCTGACTGCAGATAAAATTTTCTTGTTTTGGTTCTTAGATGACAATACCTCATCCCTGGCATCCAGAAATTGTTGATGTTCAGATTATTACTGTTGGATCTTTGGCCATAGCTGCTGTCCCTGGAGAGTTTACGTAAGTTCTTTTCATCTCACAGTTAAAAAGTGTTTATTTTGTGTTTCTTTTGGAATAAATTCTTATGGAAAGATAATTCTGTACTGATCCCTTGATGTTCTACTGTACTTACTTTTGGAAATAATGACAACTATTTTTACCCTCTTTTGGTGAATTCTCTGAGGTATAAGTCTCTCTGTGTCTATTATTGGTATATAACTTAAGAAAACTATAAACATTCATGAATATACTCTTTTTTTTTTTTTTCTGGTACCGGGAATCGAACTCACGACCTTGCACTTGCCAGGCAGGCGCTGTGCCACTGAGCTAAATCCCAGCCCCTCATGAATATACTCTAAAATAAAATGATGCCATGAATTTTTATGTTATTTGAAAAACTTAAAATATCTTTAAATATAGGTGCTCAAAGCAATCAATTTCAGAATAACGTTTGAAACTTTTTATACAGTTTTTTCTATCTCATTAAGTAGAAGTTTTACGTCTTTCAAGTTGCTAAGGCCTGCATGTTGGAATCATCTCAGAATTATTTGTTTTTCTATTTTTCCTTCTTTGAACGCTTCAGCAAATTCTGTACAGTTCTATCTGTAATGCTTTCTATTATTTTCTACATGGCCTAAGTCACCCTTGTCTCTCACTCACATTATTACAATATCTTCCTATCTGACCTGCTTCATTTCTCCCTTAATTTTCTAGAGTATATCCCCAAACAACAGCCAAATTAATTCCTTTAAAGCAAGCCAAAATTATATCACTTCCTTGCTCAAAATCCTCCCATAGCTCCCCAGCTCATTCTAAGTAAATCCTTAAATCTTTGCACGGTCCTGTGAGTTCCCACCTGGCCCATCACTAAGCATGCTCTCTGACCTGACTTTTTACCAATCCCGCTTGCTCGTGCTTGCTTCAGCCACCATGCACTCATGGTGCTGCCTAGACTTTCCAAGGAATGCTCTTGACACAGGACCTTTGATTGATGGTTCCATATGTGTGGAACGCATTCCTTCCAATTATTAGTCTTCCTTCAGTTTTTATCTCAAATCTCTCACAGGGATGCTAGTCCTTATCACGTGCTATAAAACAGTCTTCATTCACAACTACCACTACCATCAGTGCAACAAACCCATCATCAGCATCTCTCCCAACACTGTTACCTCAGGGATCACCACCATTCCCTTTCATCCTTACCCTGATAATCCTTTCTTGTAATCTCACTTTTAAATTTGCTTGTTGAACATCTCTGCTCCCTAGAATATAAGCTCCATAGTTTTTAATCACTAGCACCTGGAAGGAGGCCTGGTATAAGGAAATGCTCAGGGTTTTATGGAAGGATTAAATATGTCAATGAAACGGCAGGTTCTTTGTGGGCAGGAGCCATAGTACACTTTTTCTCTGCCTCAGCTCTCATTAACAAAGACTGCAACTGATACATTTTGTTGAATCAGTGAATGGAAAAGATCATGATGACCTTTTGCTAGCAACATTCACTTATTCTGTTTTCTTCCTTTGGTCAAATTGATAGTTTAGTTTGTTTTGTAGATAGGACAGACAGCAAGGTGGGGAGGGGACAACCCTGAACTTTAGCTTTGTTTTGTCATTCCTTTCCTATATAATTTTAAATTTATGGCTTTTACTACAAGTCTTTTTGTATACTTACATGCATTCTAAACAGAAAACATTTATATAACTGTTGTCTTGACTTTTACTATGTCTTCTTGTATAGTCATACATTCCAAATAGAAAACATCTACATAATTCTGTTTGCTTGACCTTTACAACCAGTCTTTTTTAAACACTTTCATATATTCTAAATAGGAAAACATTTTCTTGATTTAGGACTATGTCTGGACGAAGACTTCGAGAGGCAGTTCAAGCAGTAAGTTAAATATTAAATGAAATAGCTACATATTCATTTCTTATTTCTATGATCTGATAGATCTTAAATTATTAATTCCTAAAATGAGTAATTTCATAAATTTTCTTACAGTTTCATACTTCTCAAGATTAATAGGTAGAGGTAAATATTAAATATTATTTGTATAAGAGCCAAATTTAATAGCATAATGGAGTTATTTTCACGTAGAAATATTTTATTGGTATTTATATACAAATAACTTAAGAACTGATAATGGTTTTATGGGTTAGCTAAGAAAATATATTTAATCCTGAATCTCTAATCTTAAAGCCTTATAAACACTGTACATAAGACGTCTTAGTCTCTTTTTTCTTGCTGGGATACAACACTCAACACCCACAGTTAAAAGGAATACAGATTTATTTGGGCTCATGTTTGTAGCCCATGGTCCACTGGCTCAAAGGCATGGCAGCATGTCGCGGAGGCACAGCAGAGGAAAAGCTACTCACATTGTGGTTGGCAGCCAGGAAATGTGGAACGAGGCGAACAGAGTAGGGACGAACATAGGATGCCCTCAGGAACCTGCCTCCCTCAGTCAGGCTCCACCTTCTCACAGCAAATCAACTGTGACACCGCCAGGGTCCGATCCTCTTCCGAAAGCCCTGCCTATGAGCATGTAAGGCTCTTGGGGCCATCTAGATATAAACCGCAACATAAATTGTATCACATTTTGGGAGTCCTGGATGTTATGTATTCCTATGAATTTTTCTACGTTCTTTGTATGTAGGAAATATTATAAACAGTTCTATAATGACATATAAACAAGCATACTGTTACATGGAGCTAGAAATAACTATTTGGGTTGGCTAATATTCAATTATTATAGTTTTTAGAAAATTGTTTTTCAAAACTCTGTTTTACTAACAAGACTATATCTGCAAATGTGATTATAAGATATTCATAGATTCACTGACATGCCCAAAGGTAGTGCAGGGTTTTGCCTGAAACTTTTCATCAAGAACTGTGCTCTGCTTTCCTTGGTGATTTTGATACTGGGAAGAATTTTGTTCAGAGAAACATTTTAAACCAATAATTCACACCAATGGTTGTGCCTTAATTAGAACTGGGATGATAATAAATGTAAGATGAAGAGGAATTTTACCGGGCTCTACTTTCCCCTCCTAGGAATTTGCATCATATGGGATGAAGGATATGACTGTTGCCATTTCAGGTCTATGCAATGTTTACACACATTATATTACCACCTATGAGGAATACCAGGTAAAGTAAAAATGCTCTCATCATTTAAATGAACTATACCTTGGCCAAGACTAGTGTGTCCAATGCATATTTCCTAAATTTTCCCAATTTTCTGAGAGATGATTTTATTTTAATGGGGAATATATGAGAATAGTTAAGCCAGATCTTGTATCTGGGAATTCCAAGTGCATCATTTCAAGTTCAGGTCAGAATTCTAGTCTCTGATTTCCATCTTTCCTCAAAACAATAATTTTGTCAGTCATACTGGTAATAAGCATAAACTACTCATAATCTTGTGACTAAGTTGCGATAGAATTTGGGAAAACTCCAACTGACAGTAGCTATTTATTGAATGCACCAGTTAAGCACTTTGCAAATGTAATCTTAAGTGATGATTGCAGTACAGGTGGAAACAGAGTATTATTGCATCCATGATACAGGTCAAGGAGCAAGTCTTACAGGGTTTTGGAAAGATTTGTGTCTGGCATTGCTTCTTTGTTTATAAACAGTCCAGAAAGCAACCTATGTACTTAAAAAAAAATATGTTAGCAGTTTTATTAAAGGTAGGAAAAGGAAGAGGCTCTGTAGAGTGAGTTTGGGCCAACTAATAGTAGGAAAAGAAGTTCACCCTACATTGTGAGGATGACCCATCCCTGTAAGAGCAAACACAGTGGTCTCCCTTGTACTTTTTAACCATAGTAGTTAAATACATGAAAATAGTCTGACATCCCACAGTTAATGTTTTCTAATATACCAGCTGTTGTATCATTGCAATCTATGCACGGGCATGCAGTGACCTCTTCACAAATATTCAGTGAAACTAGAAGTAAAATCTGCCCTGCTTCCTTCTCTTTGCTTGACTGAAAATTCTTGATTTCTAGGAAATTCTCAGATAATCACCTTATAAAGAGACAAGGTTTATTTTGGCTCATTATTCTGGAGCTTTCAATTCATGATTGGTAAACACAGTCCTTCTAGGTCTCTGGTAGAGGTTCTGGATGAAAATGGAGGGAGCATGTGATGAAGAAAAATGATTCACTTCATATCCAGGAGGCAAATAAGAAAGAGGAAGTAGCTGTGACCCACTATTCCCTCAGGGACATATTCCCTTCAGGGACATCTTCCCAGTGACCCAAATTCTTCCCATGAGGCCACTTCTTAACGGTTCCACTACCTCCCAAGAGTGCCTAGCCAGGGACAAAGGCTTTACCACAGGGACTTTGGGGGCCATTCTTGAGCCTAATGAAAGCACTGTTGAAGATGAGTTCTAAACTGGTGTAAACCAGGACAGGAATAATAGCATTCTTTTTTACACTACCTTCTATTAGTTAGCATTTCCTTCAATTATGAATGTAGGAAACAAACAAAAATAATATTAGCAATAACTCCGACTTTGTCACCAGTAAGAACTAGATATTTTAATATAGCACACAGTTATTGCAGATCTGGAAATATCTTTTATTCCTATTATTATTCTGAAATCATAGTAGTTAGTCCACAGCTAGGTCTTATTATACAATAGCATAATAAAGAAGTATATATATTACATCACCAAATTGGTTTATTATAGTCTGATAAATGCATTTCATTTAATTGGTTTCCTTTGTCACTTTCACCAATTTTATTTTGAAGAATTAATCGAGAGGGCTACAGGTCTTAGAGGACTGACAAAGGTGGCCATGACACAAAAACAGATAAGAACCCCTGGAATCTTGCCACCCAGTCCAGGGATGTGCTCCTGCAAAGATTATTATTAACTCATTAATTAATTCAACAGGTATGTGTTGTGACAGACACCGTAGTAGTCACATTTTGGAGCATAAGAATATAAAGACTGCTGCTAAGCCCAGACCGCCAGAAGTGAGTCCAGTAGAAAGAGGGGAAAGTAAATGATTGCACTTTGTGAAAGGCACATGTGAGGTGAAGTGTAAACAAGGAGACAAATGAGAAACAAGGAGAAAGTGAGGGTCAGGACTGGGAGACCTTCAGGAGAGGTAAGGTCTGTCTGAGTTCTTGAGAAGGAGTCAGGCGGAGTCAAACAAGTAAGGATTAAGAAGCTGTCTTATACGGAGAGGACTGCACATCAGCGATCCAGAGGGGGACACTCAGCACACTGGCGGGCCATAATAAGCTGGTTACTGTGAAGTAAGTGTGGTGAGGATGACGGCAAGAGAAAGCTACAGTGAGAGGCAGGGTTAGCAGGTAGAGTTTTATACCCTGTGCTGCCAAGCTTTGACTCAGTAACAAAGGCTTCGGGGAGCTGCAGTAGGATTCAAAGCAAGAGAATGTGTCAATCCAGTTGTGATTTAGAAAGGCCTCTAGGATGGCCATGTGGAAAATGAATCAGAAGGGAACGTGTGGAGACAGAACTGATTAAGGAGGTGTAGTTAACATCTGGGTCACAGATGAAGGTTTGAACAAAGGTAAGGGAACCAGAGACGGGAAAATGGACAAAGTCAGGAGATTTTTAACGAGGGAAAATGACAAGATGTGCAGAATTATAGAATCACCTAATCCTCATGGCAGAGTGTGGGAAGGCGGCATTCCCTGGGCTTCAGAATGTAGCAGGGAAAGCAGGTGTGTTTTGAGTGATGAGTGCATTTTTAGATTGGATGACTGAGGTTACCATGGAGTTCAGGTAAAAGGAGATGCATGTGGCTCTGTTTCACATCTCTATGATGGGTGAAAATCCTGTGGAATATCATCACTCCCAATTTATCTAGGAGTTATTAGGATTTTTTCTCCCTTGTTCTCTCTGATGTATGCCCCCAAGGAAGTCATTTATATGTTACAAGTATTTACAATAGACAGACACTCAGGAGATGGCATCCCCTTTCAGATTAATTGGCGAGATAGTCTAAAAGGCTTAAACAAAGAGAATCCATTGCATTTAACAAGTAGCTGATGGAAGCCATTAGTCTGGATGGTAAATGGAAATGCCCACTCTTTTTTCATAATGAAGATCAAAGATTATGCTGGCTTATATGAAATGTCCAGTTATCACCTTTGCCTAAAATGCCGCACCTGTGTAAATGAATGAAACCATCGGAATAACCTATACCTCTCTTTGTGTCTCCTGCAGGCTCAGCGGTATGAGGCAGCATCTACAATTTATGGACCACATACTTTGTCCGCTTACATCCAGCTCTTTAAAACTCTTGCTAAGGCCATTGCTACGGTAATCAAATATTGCATGTATGTGTCTGCCTATCTTTCTATCTGTCTGTCTCAGGGTGGGGAGGTACGGAGGAAGCAAAAGGGAATCTTACATTTCACAGTTTCAATTTTTTGGGACAATTTGTATATTGAAAAACTAGGGACTTCTACAAAAATTATAGCTACATAACATCTCTAAGAGAAAATGAAATTTTACTAATAATAGAATTCAGAGTCCATTAACATCTGTTAGTGGTGGCTGCTTACCTCTCAAACATCATTTTTACTTTCTTGGTGGTCCATAAATAATGTAAGTTATTTTAATTAATGGAGGATTAGATCTGATGGAATAGAATATTACCTTGAAGTCCACACCTGAAAAACCACACACACACACACACACACACACACACACACAGATATTTATTTGATTTAAAGAAACTTCAGTTTAGAAATCTTCGCCTTGGGATATGGTTACTTTTGAAGCTGCAACTGTCGTTTTCTCTTCTCTTCTTCTCTTCTCTTCTCTTCTCTTCTCTTCTCTTCTCTTCTCTTCTCTTCTCTTCTCTTCTCTTCTTTCTCTTCTTTCTCTTCTCTTCTCTTCTCTTTTCCTCTCCTCTTCTCTTTTCTTTTCTCTTCTTTTCTTTCCTTGTCTTGTCTTGTCTTTTTTGTTTTTCTGAGACAGGCTCTCACTATGTAGTACAGACTGGCCTCAGACTCATAGTGATCCTCCTGCCTCAGCCTCCCAAGAACTGGGGCTACAGGTGTGCACCATCATGCCCAGCTGCAGCTGTGGTTTGAGATTAGTTAACAAGCAGGATGAGTAGCCTCATAAAAGACCCTTATATAATAATGTATAAGCCTTGCTAAAAGTTGTGAAATGACTGTGACCCAGGAAGTACAATAAATCCATTTTAAAGAAAGAACTTGAATGTATTCAATAGAAGTAGATGAAATTACTGTCCTGTTGGTCAAATATTTTGAATATTAGGAATTTCATAAATCTCCACCATTAGTTACTGATTGGGTGTTTCAGATTTCAGTATAGCAGGTTTACTTTGCATGTGTTTTAATTGATCATTATTTTAACATAGTGTTCTCAGTTTTAGGTCTGTTAAAGTTTTTCACAGAAAGTGATATTTAGTGAAGGCAACTGTGGTTCCTTTGTTTCATGGTCTACTTTATGGTCATGCATCTTAAGATGAGCTGTGCGATTTTGACAAAACAACTGAGTAGCTCCAAATATATTTTCTCATTTGCAAAGTGAAAATTACAATACATACCTTTCCCATATGCTGTCATAAAGATGTGAGCCTAGAGAACATTAAATATGTATCAAGGGCTATTTAAAAATGAATTTGCATTTTGATGACATCATTCAAGTGGCAAATTTTGTGGAAAACCGATTTAAACCAGACAGGATGTAGGCTGATCTTAAATTTCAAATTAAAAATGCATTTATTATATTCTTTAGCATAGAAAAGGATGAGGGAAGACTCAGTACAACTCTGGACACCTAGGCTTACATTTTAGCCAGGTTCTTCTCATATTTGTTAAAGGCTATTAACTCTTGGATCAGGTGTGCGTGTGTGCGTGTGTGCGTGTGTGCGTGTGTGCGTGTGTGCACTCGCTTCCTTCAGTAAAGATATTTCTACAGGTGGACATCTAGGAAATAGTCTTTGGCTCTATGTCGTGCATTCTTTAAGCAAATGCTTTTTATTTCAGGACACAGTAGCTAACATGAGCAGCGGTCCGGAGCCTCCAGTTTTCAAACAACTGATAGCTCCACTTATCCCTAATATTGCGGATAGAGCACCAATAGGCAGAAACTTTGGGGATGTTCTGGACCCAGTGAAACCTGAATACAGAGTGGTAAGACTCAGAGAGAGATCTTAATATATTTCAAAGACCTATCTTTGGAGGTGAAGAAGAGGATGTTGTTTAATGTCACCACCTTCTCATATACCGTAGACCAGTGATGGTGAATCTATAGCATGAGTGCCACAGCCAGCTGTGTGTTATCACTGAAAGCTCTAAAAGGTTCGCCATCACTGGCATAGACTATGTTTAGCAATGATAATTTTGACAGTTGTTCTTATCTCTGCAGAGACTCTGCAAAAGAAATAAGAATAAGAAATACTTTTTCTGGGGGTAACTATATAATTGAATTACTAAAATATAAATTATTCATTTTCTTAAATAGATGGTCAAAGACCAATTCACTGGAGTTGAAAGATGTCTTTTAAATCAAGGGTCAAAAAAGCTAGAAATAAAACAGCATCTGTACCAGCATATTTTATTTGATCTTCTGTCTTGTACTAAATCATTTATTAGTTCTAATAGGTAGTTATTGTTTTCATATGTATTCCTTAGGAATTTCAACACATACTGTATCATCTACAAATTATGATTAGTTTACTTATCCCTTTTTGGAGTTTTTCTGAATGTCTATTTTTTTGGTCATTGAATGCTCTAGAACCTCCAATTGAAGTTGTGAGACTGGATACCTTTACTTTGTTTTGTGATCCTAGGAGGAAAATATTCAGTGTTACTCCATTCAACATGGTGCTTCAAAGCTTTTGTACATGGTTGTGGTAGTTCTCTTTTATATGTGGAGAGCTTTTGTTGAAAGTGGGTGTTGGATTTTTGCAGGTGCTTTTCTGTGTTGAAATGATCATGGGTTTTTTTTTTTTTTTTGTCTTTTACTCTACTAATATGGAATATTGTCTTAATTCTCAGTTATTAAATAAATACCCTGTAGCTTTGGTATTAATGCTTCCTTGCATTGCTGAATCTGATTTCCAATGCACTGCTAAAAGTTTTACCGTCATGTCTACAAGGGATAGTTGTAGTTTTCTTTTCATGTGTGGTCTTTGGTATCAGCGTTGCTATCTTAATCACTTTCCTGTTGCTGGGACACAATACTTGACATCTACAACTTAGAGAAGGAGAGGTTATTGGCTTATGTTTTCAGTCCCTGGTTGGCTGGCTTCAAGTAGAAAAGGCATAGTAGAGGGGAATGGAGAGGAAAAGCTGCTCACATGGAAGGAAGCTTCCTCCTTAGGATTCTAAGATTTTTTTTAAGGTTCTGTCTCCACTGCCTTAAAATATTTTAGCAGGTTTTTTGGGGGTACTGAGTCTCCTTCTGGAATTGGTTTCAAGATTCTTTCTGTCCTGAGCAAAAAACTGGTTAAGGCAAGTGTAAACAATAGCAAATTTTCTTAGAGGAAGGAAGAGAAGCAAGCTCTGCAGAATGAGTTTGGGCCAAGTAAAAATAGGAAAAGAAATGCACCCTACAGCATGAGGGAAGGAAATCCATTCGAGAGAGTATACAGTGGCAAAATATCAGTGTGGTCTGTCCTTTTTGTATCACCCAGTCCTCAGGCTGACATCAGGCCTGGGTCATTCTATGGCAAATCTAGTTGCATTCTTATGAGAAGTTCATGTAGAGGGCTTGGGGGAACTGTTCTGGAAATGTGTCATGGGATTTTGTAATTAACAGGTCATGCTTACTCCCCCAGCCAGCTTTGCCATCCCCTAATCTCCTGTCTCACTTCTCCCTGAGAGACATATATCTCCATAATTCTTTATGGGGTGCTGAGGGAGTGGAGGTCTGTCTTCTATATCTTTCTACTGGCTATAGACACTACCTGCTGGGGATTACGTGCTTCCCAACCACCTTGGGATGTTGTGGCTCACTGGCTGGGATGAAGAAAAAAAAACTCTCAGAAAACAATGAGAAAAGAGTCAATGATTGTTGAACTGTCTGTCTGATGGAAGAAAGAAAATTTACTATTATGTTGGGGATGTAGAACCCAAATATGAGGAACAGGTCAGACCTCCATACTTCTTGTGGAGGACAAGTATGGCAAAGGGGGAGGTTAGATATATTATTGAGAGCCTGAGAGCTATAGCCTGAGCAAGACTGCCCATGGAATGGATCTATTTAAAAGTGGGAGCTTCAGCAGAGGTGCTCATTTAAATTGTGGTGAATTAGGGTAATTAGTGACGCTGCTTATCTGCAACTGGAGCAATTCTGGAGTCTTGCTTTCTGAAGAGAAGCCTCAGGTCTCCCAGAGGTTCTCAGGAGTAGCTTTCTTCTTATTCCAATGAAAAGTCTAGTCACCATTTCCCTTGTAGGATTTTTATAGTTTGTCACTGCATCCCTTGAGGAAGGACCAGAATGGTTCCTCAGGAACTGGGAATAAGACTAGGGTCTTGAAGGGCTGTGGGGCTACCTTTCTTGCCTCCCTATCAGTCTTTTGATTACTGTAGGAGAATTTAAACATGTCTCTTTGGGATCCCTTACAATGAATGACCTGCTTGGGAAGACAGACTACTAAGAGTTGTAGAACTTCCTGCCTGTGTTTTACAGATGATTGCTTATTAGTCAGCTAGCTCCTTTCCAGATTGCTGCATGGGCATGTAGCACAAGAAAAGTGTATTTGGAGACTATAGATATATACAATGGTACCTTGGTTCACAAGGTTAATTCTTTCCATGATTCTGGCTGCAAACCAAACTGCATGAGAGCCAAATGAAATTTCCCCATAAGGTCAACGTTGAACCCAGCCATTGAATTTGGTTCAGTTCTCATCCAATTTGGTTTGTGCTCAGGATTATGGAAAGAATTAAGTTCATGAGCAAAGGTACCACTGTAGCTTCTTGCCTTTTCCTAATATCAATGCAAAGTAAAAGCTATGAGTTCTGCTCTTTGAGCAGAGGTGCCTTAGGGAAGCCGTTATGCTTCAAAGTCCTGCTGTGAACTGGTAACTGCGCAACTTGACTTTCAGAGTCCTTCTTGGACAAAACTGCTTTCTTTAGTGAATTCATCTTCGGGGTCTCAGAGGGGCAGGTTGTTAATATCTTGTCTGCCTGCACAGGTCTGGGAAACCACTTGTTCACAAGAGTGGCTACTGTCTTGGCTTGTAAGCATCAAAAAGACAGAAAAACGAGTACAAAATAAAATAGGAATTACCTCCAGGGTGTCTAAGAACATGACCTGATACTTGGAAGCCATTTCTGTTAGCCACAGCAACTTTTGGTCTCAAGAACTGCTTTTACTGGATGAGGAGTCAAGACTTTGGTTTCTGTCCTAACGTGAGTTTTGTAGCTCCCCCTGCTTACATGGCTATAACTGCTCTCAGCCAGGGTGGCCATCCAGCAGTCACTCCATATAACTTTTTGAAAAGTATGCCACTGAGCAGAGCTCGTGTCCTAGCCTTGTGTTGAGACACCAAAGCAACTCCTCTCTTTTCTGATATGTAGAGGAAGAAGGGTTTTCTTAAGTCAGATATTTTATTATGTCACACAGCAAAATCCACCTGTTGGCTAATTAGGTCAGGAAGACCTGGCATAGTCCCAACAGGTACAATTCATTTTGGCTTCTGCCAGAATTTGAGAATTGCCCTTAGTTTTGAAAGTAAACCTCTTCTCAGAAAGGGAGTAGGACAGTGTGGAACAATTAGAAACTCTTGGCTCAAAATTTGTCCTTCAAAGTAGCACATCAGAACAGAAGCAGAGAATCTCTGACTAGGGGTTCTCTTAACCCCAGCTGTGGCTCTAGATCTAGAGGAGGATTTCCCACAGAAGGAAGTAAAAACTGAATGGAGTAATTGAAATGACTCACTCATAACATCCAGCATTACCCAGGTTTCCTCATAGGAGATGGTAATATCTGTGGATGGGGCATTGTATGTGCCCTTGGTTCTCTCGAGGGCAGGAAACAAGGGTTTGGCTGGCCTACCCCGTTTTCAGGAGCAGGGACAGTCAGCCCTCTAGCGCCATGAGTCAGGCACATAGGGTGCCTCACACTCAGAGTAGGGCCCAGGCAGTGCCTTGGTGTAGTGGTGTGCTGTGTCCAGAATTATTGCACTTAAAACATGAACTTTGGTGGTTGTTGGATTTTCTGGTAGACAACTTGGATGAGTTTAAAGCATTGTCATTTGAGACAGCTTTAGTTTTAGCCTTTTCTCTTTTGACCCTCCCGCAGATCTTGATTGTTGAACACAGAGAACATCAGGTCTATCAATTGAGTCATAGGTATCTGGGGTCCCATCTGAAGTTTCTTCATTAAACCAATGGGGACATCCATATCTCCCCTGAGAGACGGGTAGGAAATACAAGGGCAGGATCATCAAGGATATCTTTCTGTTCCTTGAGGACCACTCTAAATACCATAGTTTCTGAGCTTTCCTGAGATAAGGGCCACAAAAGCCTGAATATAAGGGATTTCATTTCACTTCCTATGTTTTAAGTAAAAACAATTTAACTAAAAAATATTCTCATAATTTGAACTGTCATCTCATGCCCATCTCTTGCCACTTCCTGATTTATATTGAACTGAACCATGTTGCAATAGTAGATAATATATTCCTTTTTAAACTCACAGGGTGAAACCTTTCCCACTGATCAAGGATACAGCCTAGGGGCAAGGTTCCTAAGGTTTCCCATAGCTTGTTTTGGGGCTTATATAGGGATAATTAGGTCTTAGGTTCTTAAAATGGTGTCTCATGTAGAAGGAGGAGACCCACTGAGCTCACAGAATGTCCCTAGTGAGACTGAAGAATTTACTCTGTCCAGGCTGACACTGGTATCTTTCAGAGAAGCACAGAGGAATTGAGCCACTTGATGGCTTTACTGAGAACTAGGTTTCTGGCCCTGAAGATGGTATTCATTGCAGAAAAAGGAGACCAAGTTTGAGCTCACCAAGTGTCCTGTGTGAGACTCAAGTATTTAATGGTCATCTCTGTCCAAAGCTGGGATGATGCTGGCACTGTTCACAGAAATATAGAAGAAAGCCCTGCTGGGGGCTTTCTGTCTCCATCCGGGGCCCACTGATTCCTTAGGGAGAAGGGGTTGAGCCATTCGATGGCTCTATATATGTAGAGTGGAGCCAGCTGGGAAACAGTATCTCAGGACTCCCTTAGGCACTTTGAGTCGTGTGATGGCTCTCCTTAAACAGATAGAGCCACTTGGGAAGCAATATCTCTTGCATTTACTCCATAATAAAAGCTTTAGTACTTTGTTTAAAGTAGTAGAGATGAAAAAAAAATTTAGAAAATCCTAAGAATGACTCATAGTGTCTGGAGTGAAGCTTTAGTGGTTGTTCTTTTATTCTGCTCAGGCAATCAGGCATATGTTTCTAAATAATCTGCATTTCATTAGAAAAAACAAAGAAGGGGTCTAGAAACAAACATGGTCATGGCTGACCCCAAACAGCACCCAGCCACATGACAAGATGACAGCTCTCAGACAGTACCTTGAGAAAGGAAAGGCCGCTGGGGGGTTGAGCAGAGCCTTTCACAAGTCTCTAGTTCTGTCCTACAGCTCTTCTCTCTATGGTACTCTCTTCTCTGTTACTCTAAAGTAACCCAAAGACTGACTATCATGGATTCCATGTGTTACATCCTCAGCATAGATAGACACCTGACATGGACTGAATTCTGCCTCTTTTTTTGCCATAGCCTACAAGTTCTCTGAAGTCATCAAGTTGAGGTGATTGTAGGGCAAATCTTCTTTATCTTCTACCATTCAGTGATCATTGGCTTTCATTGCTTAATGCCTATTATCCTTAAAACCATTGTTTAATACACATTTTGTCCAGTGTTTTAATTATTTCTAGTGGGAGGGTAGTATATAACCTGACACTGTGTTCTGTGTAGATGTAAGCATGTCATGTATAGACTAACCTTATTTGGTTCATCTATCACCTATATGTGCATAGAAGGGAGGTGGGAGACAAATTCAAGGGCTAAAGAATCCATTTTAATGTGCTGTCATGGTATAAACTATAGCTTTAGAACTTCATCTACATATGAATTTATAAAAAGAAAATTTCCTGGCTCCAAATTTCTGTGTTGATTGTTGGAAGGACATTTTCTCTGATATTCTTAGAAGGTATTACTTGATCATATAGAATGGAATCTACTCAGTGATCAAGAATCTTACAACATATAATAGATAATGCCTTAGGTTCAGTATAACAAAAAATTCTTTCACTAGAACTTACTAAATGAATTTTATTTTCAGGGAGAAGTTGCTGAAGTTACATTTGTAGGTGCTAACCCAAAGTATTCAGCAGAAAACCAAGTAAGTATCAATTTTCTCTTGTAAGTCTAAATCTACTTTTTATCTTTTCATTCACTTGAATATCCCTTTAGAAGTGAACAACATGTGCATAGAATGTGCCCACTTGTTCCCTAGCTTATTTTGCCAGGTGGGAAAATGTTCAATGCATACAGTAAATATGGAATTGAGTCTGGAAAAAAGTACACAGAAAACATCTTATTGTCTAGGAATACATAGATATCGATATAGATATAGACATAGACATAGATATAGATATGGATATAGCTATCTCACAATTCATATAGATTTGCACTGTTTCTTGAGAAGATAGTAGTGTAAATACAATCTCATTTATGTATTCAAAGGTAGAACTTTACTAAATTTGGTAAACCAATCAGAGGGCCAAGCAAGTTAGGTGTGTTCTGAGCTCCTTCCCTCTCAATTTTGGGCCCTTTTCTCCTCTTCCTTTATTACTGCCTATAACCCTTCCACTTCTGTTGTAGAATGATTACTGATCTCCACACGGTTCTTTATGGGCTTGGGGTCTCGTCCCATAGGGCTTCTTTTACATTGGCAAATTTCTCTACTCCCTATTCCTAGCATTAATGGGATATTTATTTATTAATATTAAAAACTGACAGATGAAATACATATCCAGTATAAAAGCAAATAGTGCACAAAATAAAATGTGAAAGAATCTCTTGCCTTACAAATCTGATTTTCAAGAGGTAATTACAGTTAATACTTTGTTTCAGATCATTTAGGCTTTTTATTTTTATGATATAGATGATATTTATACACAAGGATAATATATCTACTAATAGGTAAGTGAAGTAATTTTATTATGCTGTAAATTCTTTCAAATGGCCTTATAACCATACAAACAGTAAGTGGACATACTCTAGTTGTAAACATTTAATTAAAGACATTTTTAGAAGAAAAGAAAGTGGACTTTTGAAAGTGATACTTGGGTCATTTTTTTTACGGTGGCTGAATATGCATTTACCCTATTGATGAGCCATTGTTCCCCGGGCCCATAATTGCTTTAATCCAAAATACTTTTCTTTTAAATGAGCCTTTCCATTTCTGTTCATAAAATATTATTATTGCCACTGTGGCAATATGACGTCAGATATGGTATTGGGTGAAAATGTTCTACTTCTTGGATACTCACTATGCACCTGTTTTAAATAACTTGTGTTGGAGATATATCTGGATGTGCACATATTTATAACGTTATTTTCTGAAGCAAACACAGTGTTGCAGCAAAGCTTCAGCGTTAGCTGTCATTTGGCATCTTTAGGGCAGAGAAACTCTATCATCATTATTTCCACGGAGAAACAGGACGCTATAATGAAATACATTTAAAAGAAAGAACAGCTGGGATGGGTGAAGGAAAAAAGAAGGAAAGGAAAAGGAAAAAATATATACATATATATAAGATAGAAAAGATAGTTATACTACTGACTTCTTTTAGTTCACTGAGAACAATGGTTTGTGTTTATATTGTTTGGTCATTATGCATGCCTATATCTTATAATCTGAGCAACTAATTTCAAGATAACAATACACAATATATTAACCATTGTTAATCTCCTATTATCTTGTTTTGAAATTCTGTATTATTGGAGGTTTTATTCTTTCCTTTTTTTCTCTCTTTAAAATTAAATTTAAAAAAATGTTCTGGGAATCGGTACAAAACACCTACTAGGACTCTTTATTACAAGTACTCATCATATCTTTATCAAGATTTATTGAGTGCTTACATTTATAGGTCCAGGGCTAAGTACTTCATATACATCATCACATGGATTTAACTTAATCTTCACTAGTTCCCAATAGGTTACATTTCATGAACAACATATAGGTTTTATTATTGTAAACTGAATCCTAGAGAGGTTGACTGATAATAACTAGTCATGCATTTTGAGGAGGTTATGGTAGGGATATGAAGAAAGGATACTTAATGCTTTGCCCCTGATATTCTGTGGGGTAGACTTGTGCTCCAGTCTGTACTCTAGACCTATTCATTGGGTTCCATCACACTTCATACTCCATTTGAGGCCTCCCCAATGTCATTCTGCCCTAAATGGGCAGGAAAAGCTTTCTTTACAAGTCACCATTGTTACAAACACTTCTTCATTAAATATAATCCAGCAGTTGACTAATTAGAGAATTTTAAACAGTTACATGGCCAGCTATAAAAAGTGATTTGTTTGGCAAAGGATTATTTGGTCACTGGCAAACGACATGTGTAAAGGGTTGTGATGGGTAAAGGCGAATTAGGCACAAGTCTTACCTTTCAAGGGCCACAGTATAAGGGATTTTGAGGGAAATTGGTGGTTGAGACCTTTGTATTTATTAACTTGTCACATTAAAATCTGTGCTTTATTTGCAGCTGAATTTATGGCTTGAAACAAATTGCCCTATTACCACAATCTTCCTGTGAAGAAAGAAAATCTACTTATAATATGGGTTCTAAGAATCTATTATGACAAAATATAGGAACTGCCTTTAGCACCCAGTGCAGGGAAGATTTATGTATTCTTTCCAATTGTTTCACTCAGAGAGATAAGGCAGCTAATAATTCATTTACTAGGAAACTGAAATATGAAGAAGTTCTCCATCTAGATCATTAGGTGACCAAAAAAATAATCTTGGATATAGAACAATAAACACATCATGGAAAGATTTGACTTACACTCTTTTTAAATCTTAAGCTTATTCCCAGTTTCTTCTCAACCCTAATTTCCAATCAGCTCCATAATTATGTTTCTTTGAAATATCTAAAAATGTCATGGTTTTTAATAGACTGGATAAATTAATATTCTGAAGATGTTTCACAGAATGTTAAAGAGAACACCTAAGAATTCCATGAAATTCTGACATAGTTTCACACAAGGAATTGGGAGGTTGGTGTGTGGTTGGCAAGAGCAGTTAGGACAGACTGGATCCTTTTTGTGACTATACAGTGCTTCATAAGTTATATTAATTGTACTTCAGACCCATGAGACCTTCCTCACTGTGGAGAAATATGAAGACACTACAGCTGCCTGGCATATACTGTATAATGATGCCTCTTGGGAGACTCGGTAAGCACGTCTAGTGAATATTTTGTCTTTCAAACCTTGGCAGAAGTTGGTTAGTAATGCATAACACATGTATAAAGGAGTGACTCAATACATAGTACTTGTAATAGCAAATTTCCAGGGATCCTTCTGGCCATATTTAATTGATTTATTAGATTTCATTTTGATTCTGCTTTTCTACAAAAGAGAGTGGTTGTGTTTCTATAAGATGGGCGCTAATGAGGTTATGGAACCCACTTTAGCTGCATCTTGTTAGTGTCATTTTTTTTTTTTCTTTACGGCCACAGATATTACCCTGAAAACTTATGCTTTTTTGCAAATTCAGTGAAAGAGGTGCTGCGTGAAGGAGTTGCAATGTTTCTGTAGATGTACAGTACAACATTCCTACCAGGAATATAATGAACCTATTCCCCTATGTAGTTCATGTTTGTGTGTAGCCAGTGATTCTTCACTTATGGGAACATGAGAGGCTTGATACTTAGTTCTTGCAAAGTCTTGAAGGAGATATCAAGTTTGTGTTTTCTCAGAGAAATTTATCTCTTTGCCTTTTGTTACTGAATTCCAAAGCTGAATAGGTATTTTGAAGATTTTGACAGTTTGTCTGAATTAGGAAAATATTTCTGTTCTCAAGTCTATAAACGTTACACCACAAGACACTGGCGTTGAAGTGGGTAAAAATTTTGGTACTTTGCATGTACTTCAGATAATTTCCAACCAATTAATTATTTGCATGCTGGTTCGATTCATATGGTTTACTGAGAACAGGGGTTTGACCATGTTGTGGCCCTTTTGATAGCCACATATATATACAGGTATGGTTTTTTTCCTTTGGTCTTTAGGACTCTAGAGTATAGGGTGTGTGTGTGTGTGTGTATGTGTGTGTGTATGTATGTTTACCAAGTAATATATATTTGTTATGAAAAAGTTGTTATTCCATTGGATGGCACTCAGCAGCAGCATTCACCATATTTTTAATTATACCTTGTAAAGATACTGATGAAAGAAGAATGATCTATTTTCAAATGCTAAAAGTCAAATACCGGGCCACACTAAAGACAGGTTTAGAGCCTGTTTTGTTCATTAGCAGCAAGTAGCACCAAATATTTATAGAGAACATGAGGCCAGTCACTCAGCAAAAAAAGTTGAGGGCACTCTTTGTACCCAAGGGATTAGCTTTCTGCATAACTGAGGTATCAACTGATTTGCTGATCAGTGTCTCAGTGTACTTTGAAGAGAGTTTGAGTTCCTTCCCATGGTAGCTGGGGCCAGAGGTTCTGACTCCATGTTTTTCTTATCTCAGCTGCTCCACCATAGCTTGACAAGCTCTGTTCCTACTCACCAGCTTTCTGTTTCTGTCTACAACAATTTTGCTCCCCTTGTGGATGCCGTGTATTTTCTGTTTTTCCTTCCTAAAGTACTCTTCTTCCATGTCTCTGTTGACTTAATCTAAATGACATTTCCCCAGAGAAGCTTCTATCTTATTTTTTTTACAGTGGTTATCATTCTCAAAACTCTCAAATTTATTGATTTATTTATTGGTTGTCTTTTTTTCCACCCCTACCCCAATAGAACATAAATTTCATGAAACTTTAAGCCATTTTTAGACTATCTCAGTCTTGCTTACCACTGTGATAAAGAATATGGCAAATGTTACAGTTTCGTTACAGTAAAACACACTGGCATTACCAGTCCTCAAAATATTCCTGCCTGCTTCAAACACACTTAGCCCATTGTTCTTGCCACTTTCTAAAGCAGTTCTGGAAGTCCTCTTTCATGAGTGTCTTTAGTTATGCTGTTGTGGCTGTCTGGATGTCCTTAATCAATGCAATACATTTACTTTCCATGGTTATTTTGACTTTGGGTAAGTACCAAAAGTTACAGGATGCCAGATCTGGTGGAACAGCTGAGTGAGCACACACTGTAATGTTTCTGCGAGCCTACTTTTCCGACGGATAGCACTCAGCCCAGCAGTCATCATGCTTTTAATTATGTCTTGTAATTAAAGAGAACTTGATCAAAGAGAACTTCTAGAAGTGCTTCAGAAAGTGGCAAGAACAATGGGGATAAATGTGTTCAAAGCAAGGGGGAGTACTTGGAAGGGATTTATTGTCAATGCACCTTTCACTGTAAAACATTTTTAAAATTTTGACATTCACTGGATATTTTTGATCACACTTCATTTATCCTCAGTATTTTTTGAGTAGAATTGAATGTGACACATATGCTCATTAAATACGCATTTTAAACTAATCAGACTAGATGTGAAAAGAAGTGTCAGTTAATAGAGTCTGATAAGGACTAGGAGAGTACTATAAGAATTCAAAGCAAGAGACATCTGTGTTCTGAATATCAAGTAAGGCTCCCTGGAATGGATAAGTGTATGTTATAAAGGCATAACAAGTAAAGATATTTCTTCAATTATTCCTTAAAGTTCTCTTTCCTAGGAAATAGGTATTTATATTTTGTTCATTGCTATATCCTCCGTAGTTAGAGTAGTACTTTGCTTATTGTAGGTACTTCTTGAGTATTCATTGAATGATTACACATTTTTTTCTAAGCACACATTTGTAAGTCTAAAATTGTATTTTTCTTATTTGTTTATTTTCTACCAACAGATTTTATTGGCACAAAGGAACACTGGGTCTGAGCAATGCAACAATTGAATGGCATATTCCAGAGACTGCCCAGCCTGGAATCTATAGAATAAGATATTTTGGACATCATCGGAAGCATGAAATTCTGAAGCCTGCAGTCATACTTTCATTCGAAGGCACTTCCTCTGCTTTTGAAGTTGTAACTACTTAGTGAAAAACTGACAGATATTTAAAGAGAAGCTTTAATCCATGTGCATTATGTAACTGGTTCCACATAAGTGTGACTCACCATTTGGACTTCTATAATTGTCCCTGTTTAGGGACAGATAGTTTACTGCTGGGACAGAGTCGTGTGCATGTGTGTGTGTGCGTGTGTGTATGTGTGTAAAAAAGAAAAAGAGGAAGGGAGAGGGAAGAGGGAGGAAGAGAGTGAGAGTGAGCAAGTGACGGGGAGTGTGTGTGACTGTGTGTGAGTGTGTGTATGTGTCTGTGTCCCATATATCTTACTCTAGTAGCCATGACCTGTGGTCTACAGCCTAAGCATGATTTCTCTTGAGGCCTTGTGATTATTTAAAGGACAATTCTCTTCAATATGAAACCTCTGAAATGTTGGTGAGAATGTTCAAAGTTGTATGAGCAATGTTTAGACTATTTATTTATAGAATTATTGAATGTTGACACTGGGTGAGTTTATAAAAATTGTTTAGATGGATGCTTTATTTTACTGTGTGGAAAAATGAGTTTTTCTGAATTTTAGATTCAAATAAGCTTATAGCCCTTTACCACATTGCAATTTTAAAATATTATATAACCTTATCATAAATGTAGAACCCTAATTAGAGAAACAGAAGATTAGCATGTCAGTTTTTCCTGCATTCAAATAGCCCGTCTAAGCAGTCACTCTGGTGTTGGCATGCCTAGTAAAGAGTTAATGCTCAAATCATTTCTGGATTGCCTTCAGATCCCAATTATGAGAAGTCAGACTTGGAATATTTTGATCACGCCTTGTATTTCCCTAAGTGTCCTTACTTCAGTTGATCGTATCTCTTGTTCTCAAGATTTACACGAAGTGATTTTTGATTGTTTTGCCAATTAAATTCATCCCAAACCACAGAGCTTTGCCACTAGTGTAGACTTTTTAGTGAGGTTTACTGGCCAGGAGGCAGTCCTCAAAGAAGTTCATTGTTCATTCATCTGTTCTTTTATTACCATTCGCTTGCTCACATATGCATGGACCTACTCAGTCACAGCATACAGATGGAGACTTAAACGTCCAGTGTTGTACTTGTGCCTGCTCCTGATGATTAGTGAGATCACATTTGAGATGAATGTGTGTAAAAAGGTAAATATTTTGAAGGAGAAAACATTCAATTTAATATATGAGGTGTGATAGAAAAATATGGTGTTTTTAAATTTTAAAATACAACAGTAAAAGACACATTACAATTCCTCCTTCAGTATACTACCTCTTGCTTTGAACACAAATGATTAGCAAATGTCTAAAAATACTAATTGCATTTAAAATTAGCTAAGTTAACTAGGACCCCTCAAAGTACAAAGTAAATTTCCAAACCCAAGCCATACCTTTCTCAACATTTTTACTTTTATCAGCACGTATCTGTAGTACATAATGATTACATTCTTCTTAGGAGCATGTACATAACATATTTTAATTCTTTTTTCATCCCCTTCTCTCCCCTTTCCTCCATCTCACATTAATGTGAAAGATTTTGAATTTTAGGTGAAAAGTCAACCTTTATTTCAAAACAAACTCTAAGTTTTGAAAATAATAATTATATTAATATGTGAACACTAATGTTCAGTTATGTATGGCTTACATTGACAAATGAATTAGAATGTACCTGGGATACTCTTTGGAAATCACTATTTCCAGGGAGTGTTTTTATGGAAGTCAACTGCTGAGAAGTTTGCTAATCAGAATTTCCAAGGGCTGTGATCATTTTTCCTAATGACATCATTGTGTTTGATATAAAAGCTTAGGAGCCTAAAAGAGCAAATATTTCTGCAATCAGTTGACTTCAATTTTGCTTTCTCCCAGAGTATATTATAACAAATGATACTAGGTTTTTAAAATGTGTTTCTCATTATTCAGAAGAATTTATGAATTGTTTGTTGTATCTGTGTGTGTGTGTGTGTGTGTGTGGTTATTGGGATTGCACCCAGGCGCTCATCCATGCTAGGCAGATTCTAGACAACTGAGCCCCACCCAGGCAATGAATGATTTCTATCACCTCCTTTCCTTCCATTGAAATGTTCCTTGGAAAGCCTGCTTGTTATTCTCTCTTGCTCACTGGCAACTGTACTAAGGTGGTTGTTGTATTTCCTACAGAGTCTCTTGCCTCAACCCTCTGTAGACCTAGACTCTTGGTCTCAAATAACCCACAGAAACTTATTTTCTCATTTGCCATCATTTCTTTTAGCCCTAATATTTTGATCATGCCCAATACAAGGCGTGATCAAAATATTAACCCAATTTCTACTTGTGCAGTGTATAAACATAAAACCAAATCCCTGCATTATAGATACCGTAGTTATTTACCCAAGCATAAAATAACTTCAAGTGTCTGATTTGGTCTGTTAATCTAGAAATATAGATTCAGTTTGTCCCTGTTGCTGCTATTGGGCATGGCTCACTGGAGTCAAACCAGGGAGAGGAAACACCTATAAAGAGTAGAGAATGTGCAAATGGTGGTGTGGGTGGAGATTTTGTTTCTCATGACAAAGCGTGCTTTATTTGTTGCACCCCATCTGTTTTTAAAAATACTATGACTTTTCAAAAAAGTGCTGAATGGTTCCTCTTCAGGTCTATATTTTTTGATGAGTGCCCTGTAAAATTGTCAATATTCAATTGAATATTTAATATGTTAAGAATTATACTTAGGGAAGTATTTTCTAATGAGAAGTAATGTAGGCAAATGAATATTTTTTTAAAAAAGAGATTAAACCAGCTAGTTGATTATGTGTAAATAAGACTGGAGAGTGATACAAATAAATAACTTCTATAAAAAACACTCAGATATAATGGAGCTGCTTCTTTATCAATTCTTTCCCAACCTCTGAAGATCTACTGCTGGTAAAACAAATATGGTTGACTTTTTGTATACTACTTTGGCATGTGAGTTTCCTAGTAGGGTAGCTAAGTATAGAATTGTTTTGTGACCTAATTCTGAACAGAAAAACCAAGAATGAACTTCCTTGTGAACTTCCTTTTCAAATTGATCCTGTCAGGGTTGGGGATTTAGCTCAGTGGCACAACGCCTTCCTGGCAAGCGTTAGGTCATGAGTTTGATTCCCAGTACTGGAAAAGACAAAAAACAAATCAAACTGACCCTGTATGCTTCTCTTCCCGTGTAAACAAGAACACTGTAATTTTCTAATTTTAGTGTGTAGTTTTTATCCTTAGCCAAAGAATTTTAGCACTAGATGATCTATCTCTTTTCTTTAATGCTTCCAAATGATGTTTGTGGTTTCCAGGTATCCAACCTGACTTGATAGCTTATCCTGGTTTTTGGAAGTTCAGGATTATATGATGTCAGAGAGGGAAGCTCACATATTCTCCACATAACTACTTAGGATGCATTCAATTGTAAGTCACAAAATATTCCTGTTTAACAGTGATCCAAACAGTAGAGATATTTGCAATCTCACGTAATAGTAAGTCTTGAGGTGCTAATTCAGGTTTGGTATAGTCACTTGGTGATATCATTCACGTTTTTCTTATTTTACTTTTAATCCCTTGGCCTCAGTCAGAAGATAACCTCATGCAATCATGTGCAGAAGGAAAATAGGGGAAAAGTTTCTTTGCAGAATCTCTTTTTGGAAGGTGAAAATATTGAATAGGAACACAAGGAAAATTTCTTTTTCATTTTCTTGTCAAGAATTGTGTCATATGGCAAGTGTTAGCTACAAGGGAGGCTTAGAAAGAGAATATATGTTTTTCCTGCTTCTGTAGTGGGGAGTCAAGTTCTGAGAGTAGGAAGGAAGAGATGGAGCAAGCAGATGTTATAAAGTGTGTTGGTCAAAACAGATTAGTGATGCTGCAGCCTTTGAGATTTATTTCTTGATCTATGACATGTCCATTGGGGTCAGCTGGAGGATCTGTTCCACGTTTCATTCAGGGACTCATCCTGGTAGATCTCCCATTTAAAACATGCTTCCATGACCGGGGGCAGTAGACACTGAGAAGAGAACCAGCTCTTGAAGCTGCTCCATGACTTTTCAAATTTCATTTTCATCATCCCTTTGGGTCACCAGAATAGGTACATGATATTATCTGTGTACCCAACTTAATTTCCCTTTGAAATACCTGGAACTAATTTACCCTAGAGAATATATTTTAGAGAAGAACAGACCTTTGAACCACGATGATGAAAAGGAAGTGCACCTATACTGCCAAATGTATGCATTCCTTTAACAAGTTTGTACTGGGAACCTGTGCACTTTAAGGCTGGCATTATGCTAAGCCATAAGGATAAAACAATGATAAAATCACAGCTAGTTCATGCCATCTGGCACAACTTAGAGCTTAATGTGCAAAGCAGACAGGTAAACAGGCAGTTACCGTACAGAGTGAACCACATTGCTAGAATAGTTCAGAGTCTCAGAGATAGTTTTAGAGGAATGACAGTAGTTTTTATGGAAGAAGTGACATATAAATTAACACAAAATATATGCAGAAATAAGCCAGAAGAAGGGCAATAGTGTGTGTATGCATATGCATGTGTACAGGACAAGTAGGCTGTTTTAGGCAAAGGGCATATCAAGCAGTTTGTCAAGTCTTTAGAAAGGAAGAGTGTCAGATATAACACTGAATGCATTCATAAATAGCAATGCTGTTTTATATTTGTATTGGAATTTTCTCTCTTGAGACTGTCCACTTGTAGCATAAATGTCCTTGAATGTGTTCATCCTTTGGTTTACTAATTCAACACATCTTTTATAAGCAAGGACACTGATTTTGGTTCTCAGTTTCCACTGATATTGGAGTCCCCTTTCTGTCTCCATAGGCTATAACTCTCTCTTTGTGTTAAATTTATTAATAGTCTTCATTTGCTTCTGTTTCCCTCATGTTTCCAAATCTAAGATTTCTTTTTGCAGTTTTATACCTACTATTGGTAGGTAGCAAGTATAGCCAGTGAAGATCATTTCTCATTTGAAATGAGGTGCAGAGTTCAATTCTACCTCTAAAAATACTTATAAATAATAGAAAACTAAGCCATCCACATAAACTCACAATTCCAAGTTATTAGAGACCTACGCTCTGTTTATTTTATTTCTAGATGTGTTTAAGATAATGAGAGAAGTGGAAACCTGGGGATATCGGCTCAATACTAGCAAGAGGAGAACAGGAGACCTTTCAACCTCCTGCCTGGACCTAGGAATCTGGTCGCAATTATTTACCAT